GATGACTGTATTTGTGTTAAATTTATGGTGCATAAATTAACTTTTCATCAAACAATTCCACACTATGCCAACTTTATAAACAATAATATTCATTATTGGATGAGTGTTCATTATACTTTGGTGGACAAATGAATTCAGTGAGTAAATCTTACCTGGGAAAACCACAAATGTCTAAAGGGAGTGAATGAATTATAAAATCTTCTTTTATTTTTTCTCAGAGAAATTTCAAAATGCCTTGGTATTAGACAAATTAAATGTAAATCCCTAGGCATTTAGGTGGGATGTGATATGCTTACCTTCTGCAGTTTGCTCGGTAGAAGAATGTGCAATATCCATATGTTTTGTAAACATTAAGGTGAGCTGTTTTTGCTTTTGGAATGATACAATGATATATTAGTTACTCCCTTGTTGCTGCAAAGCATCTGGCAAAAAGCAACTCAAGGAAAGAAGTGTTCATTTCAACTTACAGGATTTAGTTCATAGTAACAGAGAAAGCATGAAAGTGGGGGAGCTGAGGCCACTGGTCACTTTGTATATTCAATCAGGAAACAAAGAGCAATGAATGCTAATGTTTCACTAGTTTCTACTTTTCATACATTCTGGGACTCCAGCTCATTAAATGGTACCCCATATTTAAAATGTATCATCCCACTCCAGTTAACCTAATCTGGACAACCCCACATAAAAATGCTCAGAGATCTGGATACAAGATGTTAAGTTGAAAAGCAATATAAACCACTGCAGTTGTCAACATTAATTCATTAAGTGCCTCTTGGAAATGGCTCTTTGTGTGTGGCTGCTATTATGCATTTCAGCTGTATAAAGCTAAATATTGTAATGTCTGATTCTCTATGTATATCCAACCTAATTGGGAATGCCTACACAATTGTTCACGTAGGTGAAGTACTGTTTACAAAATTCACTATTAGATTTAAATTTTCTGTGTTCATTGAATCATTGTGTTATTGGTGGTTGGGATTGTGGCTTGTTATTTTTAGGTTCTTGGCCTCTTATTGAAGGGATTGAAAAAAAGACTCACATAGATGGTAGAGAATCAAGGAAACATTGCTCAAGCAGAGTGATACTGTCCTATCAAGCTTGTCCACAGGTCATATGAATGAGGGACTTAAGAACCCCGGTTATTGTTTGAGGCTCTTTTATGGGGTTTAAGAGAAGAAGTCTCTTGCTTAAGGGCAGAGTGGAGTGGCTCTATGATTAGCAGGCTTGTATTACATAAGCTCTTTGCTCACTGTGAAAGTAATTTTCCATAATCTATCTTATTTTAATAACATACACAGTTTCTTATGGCTAGACATCCTATGATAAATAGGTGATTCTCCCTAAAATTCACTTAAAATGACTTAGAGGACATGGATTGCCTTATTGCCCAAGCACCCAAAGTCTATTCAGCCTAAATTACCCCATCTTTCCAGATTTTAGGACATTTTCTGATACATGTGAAACAGAAGTGGGGTGTTACCAAGAGTTGCAAAGGGAGCTAGCTTATTTTAGTTGTGTAAAATGGGTATTCACACAGCTTTGTACAAGCAGGGTTCCTCAGGTGCCGACAGGTTGGTTGCTAGGTAAACTGTTCAGAAAGGGGTATGTGTATGCATAGAAGGTGCATCTTGTTTCAAGCAACCAAGTGCATTATGAGGATAGAGGCAAGTAACCAGCCCGCATCAGGTGTTTGCCAAATTCCAAATTCATAAGCCATTTCCTGTGCTTGTCTACTTCACTACTACTCAATATTCATGCTTTTATATACGAAACAAAACTTCTATAGCATATGCAGTATAATACTACATAGCCACCTAAATATAAGTATGATGCAGACTATGCTAATGAGACTCTGAACGATGTAATATGAGATTGTCATTAGAAAATTCTATTCACTGTTTTATGATTTTCATATCTGTTTTGCACACAGTTGTTTGAATAACAAAAAAAATGATATTGGGTAAATTGACATAAAAAGCTGAAGTTTAGACTTTTCATACCACAGTGTAGTGTGGGATCCGGAGGGGAGGAGGGAGGGGCTTATGGGGGGATACAAAATGAATAAAGTGTAATTAATAAAAAAAATAAAAATAAATAAAAAATTTAAAAAAATGTTTAAAAAAATGAACGGTTTCTTGAGGTAGCACTATTCCTAATTTTCTGAGAAAGCACCAGATTGATTTCCAAAGTAAGTGGTTGTACAGCAATGGAGGAGGGTTCCCCTTTCTCCACATCCTCTCCAGCATGTATTATCACTTGAGATTTTGATCTTAGCCATTCTGATGGGTATAATGTGAAATCTCAGGGTCTATGTAATTTGCATTTCCCAGATGACTAAGTATGTTCAGCTCTATCACACCTAGGTATATATCCAAAATATGCTCAAGTATAAAACAAGAACATTTGCTCAAATATATTTGTAGCAGCTTTATTCATAATAGTCAGAATCTGGAAACAGATGTCCCTCAGTGAAGGAATGGATACAGAAATTGTGGTACATTTACACAATGGAATACTACTCAGTAATTAAAAACAAGAAAATCATGAAATTTGAAGGCAAATGGTGGGATCTAGAAAAGATTATTCTGAGTGAGGTATCCCAGAAGCAGAAAGACACATGATATGTACTCACTTATAATATAGGAAAATTCACATATAATATAGGATAAACACACTAAAAATTCTGTTCACCTAAAGAAGCTAAGCAAGAAGGACGACCCTGGGTAAGAAGATCAATCCTCCTTCAGAAAGGCAAGTAGGATGGACATTAGAAGAGGGAGAAAACAGGGAATAGGACAGGATCCTACCACAGAGGACCTCTGAAAGACTCTATTCAGCAGGATATCAAAGCAGATTCTGAGACTCATATCCAAACAATGGGCAGAGGGCAGGGAATCTTATGAAAGAAGAGGGAGTGAGAAAGACATGGAGGGGACAGGGCTCCACAAGGAGAGCAACAGAACCAAAAGAATCTTGGCAGAGGGGTCTTTTCTGAGACTGATACTCCAGCCAAGGACCATGAATGGAGCTAACCTAGAACCCCTGCACAGATGTAGCCCATGGCAGTTCAGTGTATAAGTGGGATCCCTAGTAAGGGAAACAGGGGCTGTCTCTGACATGAACTCAGTAGCTGGCCCTTTGATCACCTCATCCTGAGGAAGACACTGCAGCCAGTCCTGATGAGACCTGGTAGACCTGGATCAGATGGAAGGGAAGGAGGACCTCGCCTATTATTGGACTGGGAGAGAGGCAAGGGAGGAGAAGAGGGATGGAGAGTGGGCTATGGAAGGGATGAGAGAGGGGGCTACAGCTGGGATACAAAGTAAATAAATTGTAATTAATAAAAATCAACAAATACATAAATATAAAACAAAAAACGAAATGTTTCAGGCAATCTCATGATGTGAAAAAGTTTTTTAAATTGTCTAATCTTCTCATTCATAAAACTCCCTCCAAGGAAAGACTTCCAGAATCCTCATGGCCTACCCCAAAGGCTGATTTATTTTACTGGATTTTCACTTCTACAGACAAAAATAGAAATAAACAGAGACTTTTTTTTTTTTATTTCTACTCCATGTGTGTGTGTGTCTGTGAAAAATTCTATACAGCTCTGGTGCTAATTACTACTGCCTTTGGTTTTGTATTTGTGAGCCTTCTTAATGCAAATATTCTAAAAAGTAAAGCTTAGAAAAATGTTTGCCAAGGTGATTTTGTCCAAAATAAATATTTGATAATGATAGCATTTTATCAGGCTTGTGCAGAGTCACAGTTATAACAATTACTTATGATACAAGTAAGTGAATGTGTCTAAATGTTTTATGTGCTAAACTGTGCTTTTTGAAAATTAAAATGACTCAACATGGACAACCTAGAAAGGCTAAAACAATGAAAATGATGGAACTGTGCTGTTGGTGAACTTTCTTTGATTTAGTTGTAATTTCCTTGTAAAATGTTATAGCACTTGCCTGTTGGCATTTTGCAATTTTAGTTGCAAATCTTAGAGCCTGCTGCCTCTTCCTCTATGACTTGGGGTCAGTTTAGATCAAAGGACACATCTCCTCCTGGCAATGAAAGACAACTTCAAAACACAGAATGACTAATCGGGAATGTCCTCAAGCAGGTAGTAGAGAAACAAGGGTGACACTGTCAGGTTTAAAAAGGAGTTACGATGAACACGGCTCATAAGCACAGAGAACCTTGGATTTGAAGCTAGCTTTGACTGTTTACAAAGTGCACAAAAACAGATCCACTTATACCAGGATTTTAAATATAACAACAGCTGAGATGTTATACAGAGCAGGTTATTTTGCATCATTACCTGATACTAACGGAGCTGGCTCTTTACATCTACCTGTACTCACCTCTTGTTTCTATCAAACACAACATATTTCAAATATTTCAGCAGATCCACCCGTAGATAGAACAGCACATCGGATCTAACAAGTCTAACAAATAGAGGGGAAACTATAACAGTGTAGCATAGACCCTAAACAATAAGATTCAAAAAATCCTATGACATGGATTCCTACAGGTATGAGAGAAACTGAGAATATTTTTCTTCCCAGTTCAAGCCCAAACTGCAAACAAACCCATTCCCTTTCACTAATTATATTTCTTGCTTCTCACTAAAGCATCAAGAAGTATACTCCCAGTTCAAGCCACTAGGTGAGAAAATTTCAGGAAAGCAAAAAGAATATAAGAAAATACACCTGAATGTAGGTTGTTTGTAAGGGGGCTTGAGAACGACTGAACTGTTTAGGCTTTTAGTTTGACTCCCCCTCACCACCCTTCCCTTGTTGTATTTCTCTTCTTTTGTAGCATTTGTCACTCACTGTGGCACTAGTTAATTTACTTTCCTATTATGTTGGCTATTTCCTAGTTCCTGGAAGCAAGAGCATGATCTTGTATGTCTTGTTCTTTACTGTATGCCTATTAACTGGAAAGAAGCTTTGCATGTACTGGTGAGTTATTTGTGATTACAATTACAAATTTCAGAAAACTCAGTGCATCTCTGTAGGCAGTAATTTTTTGGTGAAGTCCTTGAATGCCTGCCTGACCTGCTGGTTCCTTAGGGTGTAAATGAAGGGATTCAGAATAGGAGCTACAGAGGTGTTGAGCAAGGCAACTCCTTTATTTAGCACCACACTTTCTCTGGCAGATGTTTTTACATACATAAAAATGCAGCTTCCATATGAAATGGAAACCACAATCATGTGGGAGGAACAAGTGGAAAAGGCTTTTTTTCTTTGCTGTGCAGAGGATATCTTCAGAATTGTTCTAAGGATGAGTATGTAGGAGAGAACCACCAAAGCCAAAGTTACCATGAGAGTGAACGCTGCTAAGGAAAATGCCATCAGCTCTAGTATCTTTGTATCTGTGCAAGCAATCTGTAGCAGGGGAGAAGAGTCACAAGTGAAGTGGTCAATGATGTTAGAGTCACAGAACTCCAGCTGAAGGCCCATGATCACTGGGGGGAAAACGACAAGAAAACCAGATGACCAGGAGGCAATTACAAGTCGGTTGCACACTTTGTTGCTAATGATAGCTGTATAGTGCAGAGGATTGCAGATGGCCACATAACGATCATAGGACATTGCAGCCAGTAGAAAAAATTCTGTCGCTCCCAGAAAGATCAAAAAGAATACTTGTACCATGCAAGCATTATAGGAAATAGCTGTGTTCCCTGTAGCAATGCTGATCAGAAATCTTGGAATGCAGACTGTAGTAAATAAAATTTCTAAGAAGGAAAAATTTCTGAGAAAGAAATACATGGGCGTTTTCAAGTGAACATTTGACAGTGTCAATGTAATGATGATCATGTTTCCACTTACACTCAGTAGGTATGTGGCCAGCAAAAAGGAGAATATCACAATTTGTAGCTCTGGATCATCTGTAAGTCCCAGAAGAATAAATTCTGTGACTGATGTCTTATTTGGCATAGCTAAGGTCTGAATTTGGATAGGTCTGTGAGTAAAAGAAACAATGTCAATTCAAAATCATTTGATATGATTTCAAATATGTATGTAATGTTCTTACTCTTAAAAACAAACCTTGTACTTAACGCTTGAGAAATTCCAAAATAACTATCCATTAAAATTGAAAGTTTATACTGTGTCTGGTGAAGGAAGAAGTTAATTTGTTTCATTTTTCTTGAGGAAAATAAAACAAATTATCAAAATGTACACACTGTAATTTCAAAATCTTAATGACCATAACATACAATTTAAAATTATCACTAGAAAGCTTATCTTGAATCAAATTCAACCTTTTTTGTTTGTTCAGTCTCCCATACTGACCTGTTATTCTTTAGCCTCGTGCCTCAGTACTGTGTGAGAGTCTAGTCATTGACGTTATACTCATAGCAACTCTTGCTGGTGTTTGCTTTGGTTCTGTTGCAGAGTCTGGCTTAGCTGGCTCTGTAGTCCAGAACTTACTCTGCAGCTCAGGGTAACCTCTAATTTGTGGTAGTCATCCCTCAGCTTCACTTGTGCTGGGCTCACAGGAGTGTGAAACTACAAACAGCATCCTCAATTATTAAGCTCTCAAGCTCATAAAAAACTTGAAACAGAAAGCACTCCATGGAGAGAAACTGACTAAAAGCCTACAGTTTTTAATTAACTCTTCTCTGAAATTTAAACAAAAACAATATCACATATTTTAATGAGCAAGGTCAGAGATTAAGGCTAAATATATTATGCCAGTAAGCTTTTGCATGACAACCTTCCTCAAGCGCTGCTTTAAAACAAAATACACTGATAAATTTGTTGTTGTTAAAAAAGTGTGGCAAGAAAAGGATACATACTGTAAGGAAGCTAACACAGGAGTAACATAATAAATAGCACAAAATATAATAATTATAATCATTGTGGAAAATATCAATATATTCTTCACTGTATGCCCAATAATCATCCTTCTGTGGTTCCATGTACAAGCCCAAGGTCACATACTAGTGTCAACAAGTTAGGTAGCTTCCTGTTTGTATTCTACTTCATCCTATCCAGTGTTCTAATGTTCAAAATAGACATAAATTTTATTTGATACGTGAATAATATTCATACCTGAATAATAACCCTGCAACCATTAACGCTGGTGACAATACTCTGTCTCTTGTTTTATCTTTTTGAGCCCAGATCTTCATCTATATATCATCTTGCAAATTAATCAATTTTAACAAATCTTAATACCATTTGTGACATGTGACAATAAAATGAAAGCCTTTAGTACTGAGAATTTTAGAATTTCGTTGACTCAGATACTCAGCAACTGAAAGGTACTTTCTGGAATCACATGAGTGCATTATACTGCTACCAGTTCCAAGAAGCAAAAATTCCATGATTCTCAGGTAAACCACAAAAGGACTCTGAGTTAATGGTGTGCAATGAGGATGTAGAGGTTAATGAAATGGTTTCCTGTGTCCTCTGCCCATTAGGGATGTATAAGTAACATCACTGATGTTTACCTGAGAAAATGCATTTAACTCCTTGAGTGGTCAGGGTTACACATTTCTGAACTCACATGTCAGGTTTGGGGAAGACATAGGCAGAAAAAAGTTGGTAAATTTAACAACATGGCATGATGATGTACATTGAAAAGACTTAGGGTAAAGAGTTCTGATTTAGGCAGATGGATAACATTGCTGACAAGGGAAAACATACTTTTAGATTAGTCAGCATAGTTTAAACCTAGTGTCCTCATTTTCTGAAGTTTAATTAAAAAACAATAAGAAGACAAGTTTGTTTCATTTTTTGAATGATTTGGTCAAATTAAGTACTTCTATACAGCTACTCTGTTATTAAAATATAAATATTTTGTCTACATCTCACTTGTGAAAGCCTACCCACTTCTCCAAATTCTGATCTTTAAGAAAAAAAAATATCTAACATCATATGCCATTGACTGCATAACTTTTCTCATATTGTTCAGCAATGAACATTAAAAAACCCTTTTCTGTCTAAGGAACAGATGCATTATGTGTGTTTGTGAGTTAGGAGAGTTTGTCCTGGAGGAAAACATAACAGACACATCCCTAGAGACAGAAAAACTAATGCATCTACAATTAATTTTGCCAACATTTTACTCAAATTCCTTTGAGAACCATTAGGTCCTGGAAGATACAGAATTCTGTGTATGATGTCAGCCATCATATGAAGCAAAGCGAAAAACTGATGAAACAATTATTGCTTGCTGAGTAACTGCTCAAAATTATCCTTCATGCTTCAGGATTTTTTTTTTCTATTTTGGGTCTTTTTGTTTGTTTCCATGTGAATGTTGAGATTTTTTTTAAATTTATGTTTAGAAGTGCATTGGATGGGGATTGCATTGAATTTCTGTAGTGTGTTTTTGGTAAAATAACCATTTTTTACAACATTAATCTCCCCAATCCTTGAGCATAAGAATTCTTTCCGTTGTCTGATATTTCTTCAGCTTTTTTCTTAAAGTTCTTACTACACAATTCTTTTATTTCCTGTTAAGATTTCTTCCAAGATATTTTTGGGGCTATTATGAGTGGGATTGTTTCCCTGATTTCTTTCATGTTTGTCATTGGCTTATAGGAAGGATACTGCTTTTATATGCCAAGGTTATGTCTTTCTACTTTGCTGAATGTTTATCAAGTTTAGGAGACTATGTCTCTTGTTTCCCAAATTTTCCAGAACTTATATCATGAAGGGATTTTATCAAAGGCCTTTTCTGCATCTAATGACATGACTGTGTTGTTTTCATCCTAGAATCTAATTATGTGGTAGTTTAAATTTACTGGTTTATTAATGTTGAATCACCGTTGTAGCTGGATTAAAGGTGATTTGATTTTAGCAACTGAGGTTTTTTATATGTTTTTATAAGAATTTTTCTGTTATTTTTTTATTTTAAAAATATATTGTCATATGTTTTGATCATTTTCTTTTCCCTGAAAGATTAAAATTTTTGTTTCTACCAGAAACAAAAAAGAATAAAAAAATCACGAAGGTTTTTGGTCCTGTTGTTCTCTTTGTGGAGTTTCTGTCCCCTCTAGGTCTTTCTATCTCCCTCTTCTTTTATAAATATTCCTGCACTCTGCCCAAAGTTTGGCTATGAGTCTCAGTATCTCCTTCAATACTCTGTGGAAGGCTCCTCTCCTGTTCCCTTTCATCTACTTTCAATGTCTATCCTGTTTGCCCTTCTGAATGAGAATTAAACATCTTCCCTAGCGTTCTCCTTGTTGTTTAGCTTCTTTAGGGCTACAGATTTCAGTACGTTTATCCTTTATTATATGGATAATATCCATTTATAAGTGAGTATATACCATATGAGTCTTTTGCTTCTGGGTTACTCACTCACTAGTTCCCACCATTTGGCTGCCCAGGGAGGCCTGCAGTAACTGATACTCCAAATAAGGACTTTGCATGGCCAGGACATAGACCCCCTGTTCAGAGGAAGCCCATAGACTGCTCAGTTTCCAAGTGAAAACTGGTTTGCCAGTAAGGGGGGCAGGACTGTTTCTTACATGAACTCAGTGACCTGCTTTTTGGTCATCTCCCCCTGGAGGGTGCAGCCTTACCAGGCCACAGAGGAAGATGATGCAGCTAGCCCTGATGACACCTGATAGGTTAGGGTCAGATAGAATGGGAGGAGTCCTCTCCTATCAGGGGACTAGTAAAAGGGCATAGGAGGAGAAAGGGAGGAAGGGTAGACCTAAGAGGGGATGAGGGAGGGGGCTGCATCAGGGATAAAAAGTGAATAAATTGTAATAAATAAATAAAATATAAAAAAGAGAAAATAATCCCAGGAAGGCAAACCCATTCACAAAAACCTTTTAAAAATTAAATACCTTGGAATAAATCTAATTAATAATGTAGAAGCCTATACAATAAAATCTTTAGAACACTGAAGAAAGAAATTAAAGATGAAACCAGAACACTTGTATTCGTAGGTTTAATGTGTAAATGGAATTCTATATTTAACCCATCTTTCTTTAAAATAAATCGTAATAATGCCCAGAAATGGAAAAGAAAACCACAATTTTAAAATTCAGATAGAAGTACAAACATTACAGATATCCCAAAACAATATTGACCAATAAAAGCACTGCTGGGATGTCACAATTATTAATAACAACTTAAACCACAGAGACCTAAAATAAAAATAGCACAGAACTACTGGCAAAACAAACACAGATATTAATTGAATAGATTAAAGCACCCTGATAAAAATACACCCATTCATAGTTGTGTAATGTTTGACCAAATATAAAAACAAAACAGAACCAAAAATTCAGAAACAAAACAAAAAACAAACAAAAAAATCTACTATCTATAACAAACAGTGCTAGGAAAACAATGGATATTAACATGTTAAAGAATGAAACTTGTTCTTTCTTATCCTACAAAGAAAACAAAACGACTGCCTACAGATTGGGAAAGAATCTTCACGAACCCTATCCCTGACAATGGACTAATATCCAGTATATATGAAGAACTAAAGAAGCTGAAAAGCAACAAACCAAGTAATCTACTTAAAAAAAGGGGAACAGTGCTAAACAGAGAACTCTCTGTAGAGGAATATCGAATGGCAGAGAAGCGCTTAAGGAAATGCTCAACCTCATTAGTCATTAGGGAAATGCAAATCAAAACTACCCTGAGATTTCACCTTATACCCATCAGAATGGCCAAGATCAAAAAGTCAAGTGACAACACATGCTGGAGAGGTTGTGGAGAAAGGGAAACCCTCCTCCATTGCTGGTGGGAATGTAAACTGGTACAACCACTTTGGAAGTCAATCTGGCGCTTACTCAGACAATTAGGAATAACGCTTCCTCAAGACCCAGCTATACCACTGCTAGGTATATACCCAAAATTTGCTCAAGTACACAACAAGGACATTTGTTCAACCATGTTTGTAGCAGCTTTATTTGTAATAGCCAGAAGTTGGAAACAACCCAGATGTCCATCAACAGAGGAATGGATACAGAAATTGTGGTATT